GGTTTCTGATTCAATATGTCTGCGGGTGGGGCCTGAGAATTTGTATTTTTAACATGTTCCCTGATGGGGTTGATGTTGCTGGTCAAGGAACTACATGTTAAGAAAAATCATTTTTTTTCTCCAGGTCAGCAACATTTCTCTTTTGGAATATTCCAATAGTTTCCTGCTTCCGACTCATTTGGTAAAGTGCAATCAGAGTGATCTTCCTAATTTTAGTTGGAAATATTTATTGGGTGCCAGATACTCTACTAGACATAGAGAATGTATTAATAACAATGAGCAAAACAGACAAGGATCCTGATGTCACAATAACTTGAAGCAGAGAGTTTGCCTGGGACACTGTCTTCCCTTGGCTGAACACCATGCAATGATGTTCATACTCTCCTTTCTAGGGGTGTAAAATACAGACGTACGTAATTAAAGTTCTATTCCTGTAATCAGTTCATAAAATGGTTGAGTCAGCTCTGTGTTCTTTGATTTTGCTCTGCTAAATTGTTTGATGGAATAAGTAAAACCCCAGCTTGTTCTTCACATTAAGGTCAGAATGACCTGATGGATGCTGGGTGAGCAGGAATATGGGAGAAAATTAAATAAGATTATTTAGGCTCATTCTTCCAGTATTTTAAGTCTATACAAAACCATTCCTTCATCTTTAGAAGGAGGTAGATGCAGCAGGGATGGCTTGGAAATGTTTAGTAAGTCCTGCCCTCCTCCTGTGAAGGTCTGCCTTTTATTTCTCTGCCCCTACCCATAGGACTAATCCTAGCAAGAGTGAAGGCCAAGTGTTCTGGGCTTAGTTAATACAGTAAAATACTCACCACTACTAGTCACAATTATCTTTGTCTCTCCTCCCTTTTCCTTTTCCTTTATGGTTTGACATCTACTGTTTGGGTAGGCAGAAGAGCCAAAATTTTGCTAATCTGAAACTTTGGTTGTGATTCCTTCTGATTTATAGGGCAAATTCTTGTTCTGATAAAGGAAGGCGGAGTTAAAATAGAAAGCCTGTCTTTCCTCACAGCACCTTGAGTTCTGTGCTCAAAACATGGCCCTCTTTTTCAAACTGATCTAACAGTTCATTGTCTTCAGGATAGCAACCTAGAGTGTGGGGCAGGCTGCCAAGGTTAGTTGCTTTTTTGATAATTTGATTTTTATCCCAGGGCCAACAGTAAACTATGGAATGCTTTAGAACTGGAAAAAGACAAGGACCAGGTATGCATTTCTAAGCCATCTTTTTTGGTTGCTGTGTGGAGAAGGACTAGATGTAACTAGGGGCATGAAGACTAATGAGATGGCAGTTGCAGTGATCCTGAAGAGAAAGAATGGTGGCTTAGATTAGAAATACGGATAGGAGGATGAGAAAGTATAAGGATTCTTGAGCTATTTGGTGGGGCCAGGCATTAGTTTTAGGACTTTTATCCACGGAGAGACAGGGAGGAATCAAGGATGGCACTGAGATTTTTGGCTTAGGCAACAGAGTGGATGCTGAAGCCATTCCTTGGGTAGCCAATACTGGGGAAGAAGTTTGGAGAGGAACATAGTGCACTCAGTACGGACATGTTGAATTTGAGGTAGTTTTGGGACATTAATTGAACTGGAATGACTAATACGTAGTTAAATAATCACATGACTCTTAACTGCTAAATCCTTCCAGTATGTCCCCATTGCCGACAGGGTAAATTCCAAATTTCTTAACAAGACTTACAATTTACCTTTTTCAGCTTCATCTCTTCCACCTATCCCCACCGACAGCTCAAATTGCCCTGCTCAAATTCAGTTTTAGTTCCTCAAAGGGTAATGCTTTCCGTAGTTTCAGGGACTTCGTGCTAGTAGTTCTGTAACTAGTTCTGTAACGAACTATTTTTTTTTTTTTCCCTCCTTTCCTTGCATTCAACAAACAGGGAGGGCCAGGTAGATGTTAGGTGCTGAGATAAAATGGTGAGCAAAAGACGACTTTGTCCCTTCTCTGATGGAGGCAGTATAATGGCAGAGTTAAGTACTAATCTAATAATTACACAAATAAGAAAAAATTGCAAATGAGATGAGAGCTGGTAATGAAAGGAACCTAGTAGGAATGAGAGCCTATAATGGGGTTTTGACGTAGGGAAAGTTTGCCGAGAAAGTGAAGATAGAGTTGATTCAGACGGGTAAGAAAGAGCTTCTTAGGCTGGGAGAACATCCCTGTAGAAGGGTGTAACTTGGCACATTATGGGGAACTAGAGAAACACACACTTTTCCTAAGACTTCTAGGAAAGGGGCGGAGAGACTTGTCTATTTTGTCCCATTGCAGACGCCATCTGGCCCCGGTGGTTGCCACCTCGTCGCACTGATTACTGGGAGTTGTAGTCCCGACCTCAGCGAGCAGGCATGGCGGCCTGCATGGCGGCCTGCATGGCAGGAAGCTACGGGGCCGCGATGAGCCTGGCCGGGAGTTTTCGAGCCGCTAGGGCGCTGCTCCCCGCGTCGCCCTCCGTTGTCTGCTGTAAGTGGAGCGGGGCTTGCGAGCTGGGGCGCGGGAGGGGCTCAGGGCCAGGCTGCCGGGAGGCGAGCCTGGAGGTCAGAGGTGACCCCGGCGTTGGTTCCCCGTGGGACGGCCGGTTGGGGGAGGTTGCAGGGCTCTGCAGGATCTCGGGGGCGGGGGCGGGGAGCGGGGCCCGAGAGTCTTGACGCCTGTCGTCCGCTCCCGCAGGGGTCTGTGCGGGGTCCGGCCGGCAGCAGAGCACTGGGCCTTCCAAGCCTGGCGCGTTCCAGCCGCCACCGAAACCGGTTATCGTGGACAAGCGTCGCCCGCCGAGCCAGGAAACCAGGTGGGGCCCGGACCTGGGCGCAATGCCGGCTACTTGGTCAGAGCGCGCGTGACCGTGTTCGCATTAGAGGTCCCGGCTCTAAAGTGGGGGCTGGAACTCCCACTGCACAAGCTTTTGTGTGAGATTCAAGAGCCCGCGTATGTAAAAGGCACCCATTCCCCAAGCTAGCATTGTGCTTCTTTGCAGTTTTATTAAGTCCCTCAAAGTAGGGATTCCCCAGATTTTAAGCTCTTTCCTGGTATTTGTCCTGTACCTGAGTTTTTGTCTGAAGCACATCCTATGTTTATACCTGTTCAAGTTCAAGAGCCGCTTTTTTTCTCTCAAAAGACCTTTAACCCTGCGTAGGAATCCATTGGCCAAAACTTAGCAT